AGGCCTGGACAGTCCCTCTGTCCCCTGAGGGCCAGGAGAGCTTCTCCAGGCCTGGACTGTCCCTCTGTCCCATGATACCCAGGAGAGCTTCTCCAGGCCTGGACGGTCCCTCTGTCCCCTGAGGGCCAGGAGAGCTTCTCTAGGCCTGGACTGTCCCTCTGTCCCCTGAGGGCCAGGAGAGCTTCTCCAGGCCTGGACTGTCCCTCTGTCCCCTGAGGGCCAGGAGAGCTTCTCCAGGCCTGGACTGTCCCTCTGTCCCATGACACCCAGGAGAGCTTCTCCAGGCCTGGACTGTCCCTCTGTCCCCTGACACCCAGGAGAGCTTCTCCAGGCCTGGACGGTCCCTCTGTCCCCTGAGGGCCAGGAGAGCTTCTCTAGGCCTGGACTGTCCCTCTGTCCCCTGAGGGCCAGGAGAGCTTCTCCAGGCCTGGACTGTCCCTCTGTCCCATGATACCCAGGAGAGCTTCTCCAGGCCTGGACTGTCCCTCTGTCCCATGATACCCAGGAGAGCTTCTCCAGGCCTGGACTGTCCCTCTGTCCCCTGACACCCAGGAGAGCTTCTCCAGGCCTGGACTGTCCCTCTGTCCCATGATACCCAGGAGAGCTTCTCCAGGCCTGGACAGTCCCTCTGTCCCCTGAGGGCCAGGAGAGCTTCTCCAGGCCTGGACTGTCCCTCTGTCCCATGATACCCAGGAGAGCTTCTCCAGGCCTGGACGGTCCCTCTGTCCCCTGAGGGCCAGGAGAGCTTCTCTAGGCCTGGACTGTCCCTCTGTCCCCTGACACCCAGGAGAGCTTCTCCAGGCCTGGACTGTCCCTCTGTCCCCTGAGGGCCAGGAGAGCTTCTCCAGGCCTGGACTGTCCCTCTGTCCCATGACACCCAGGAGAGCTTCTCCAGGCCTGGACTGTCCCTCTGTCCCCTGACACCCAGGAGAGCTTCTCCAGGCCTGGACGGTCCCTCTGTCCCCTGAGGGCCAGGAGAGCTTCTCTAGGCCTGGACTGTCCCTCTGTCCCCTGAGGGCCAGGAGAGCTTCTCCAGGCCTGGACTGTCCCTCTGTCCCATGATACCCAGGAGAGCTTCTCCAGGCCTGGACTGTCCCTCTGTCCCCTGAGGGCCAGGAGAGCTTCTCCAGGCCTGGACTGTCCCTCTGTCCTCTGACACCCAGGAGAGCTTCTCCAGGCCTGGACTGTCCCTCTGTCCTCTGACACCCAGGAGAGCTTCTCCAGGCCTGGACTGTCCCTCTGTCCCATGATACCCAGGAGAGCTTCTCCAGGCCTGGACTATCCCTCTGTCCCATGATACCCAGGAGAGCTTCTCCAGGCCTGGACTGTCCCTCTGTCCCCTGAGGGCCAGGAGAGCTTCTCCAGGCCTGGACTGTCCCTCTGTCCCATGATACCCAGGAGAGCTTCTCCAGGCCTGGACTGTCCCTCTGTCCCCTGAGGGCCAGGAGAGCTTCTCCAGGCCTGGACTGTCCCTCTGTCCTCTGACACCCAGGAGAGCTTCTCCAGGCCTGGACTGTCCCTCTGTCCCATGATACCCAGGAGAGCTTCTCCAGGCCTGGACTGTCCCTCTGTCCCCTGACACCCGGGAGAGCTTCTCCAGGCCTGGACTGTCCTACAGTGAGTTTATGCTGAATGCCTGCTTTCCTGCCGGGAGTCTGAGATTTGGGTGGTCGTCACACAGAGCGGCCCACGTGGCCTGCACAGGACACACACCTTGGGCTCTGAGCCTCGAATGGGCTTTGCAGGCTGCTGAGTTCTTCATTGCTGGAGGAAGGAGCATGCATGGCGCCCGCACAGGAAAGCGGCAGCAGCCCACGCTCTAATCTTCCAGACGTGGCCTGTGTGCTTCTCCCTTGCCAAGCCCATCTGCCTTCACCGTGATACACTTTAGCTGTGGGTCGAGCAAACCCCCGAGCAAGGGGGATGGCTTTGGGGACCTCCAGAAGCAAGTCTGCCCTGCTGGCATCTGATCCAGGTCACCACCCCTCCCTCTCTGGGACCTGCTGCCCCCAGGGGTTTCCACTTCCACGTGAGAGGCACACAGAGCCGACCAGCAAAGGCCCCAGACCCACAGGGCCTTGCCTAGGCTTCTCAGGACATAGCAGGTCAGGGTGTCAACCTCGTTTGAACCAGAACACTCCATCTTGAACAGGCACTGAGTGAAATGAGGCTGAGACCTGCTGGTTTTCTTTCTCTTTTTAGACAGAGTCTGGCTCCGTCACCCCCGCTGGAGTGCAACGGCACAATCTCGGCTCACTACGACCTCCGCCTCCTGGGTTCAAGCGATTCTCCTGCTTCAGCCTCCCGAGTAGCTGGGATTGCAGGCATGTGCCACCATGCTCAGCTAGTTTTGTATTTTTAGTAGACACGGGGTTTCTCCATATTGGTCAGGCTGGTCTCGAACTCCTGACCTCAGGTGATCCACCCACCTCAGCCTCCCAAATCGCTGGGATTACAGGTGTGAGCCACCGTGCCCTGCCGAGGTTAAGGCATTCTAAGTCACAGGATGAGAGGGGAGTCTGGCACAAAACAGAGGTCACAAAGACCTTGCTGATGAAATGGGATGCAATAAAGACGCCAGCTAAAACTTGCCAAAACCAAGGTGGTGTCAAAAGGCGTGGTGGCTCACACCTGTGATCCCAGCACTTTGGGAGGCCAAGGTGGGCCATCACCTGAGGTCAGGAGATGGAGACCAGCCTGACCAACAAGGTGAAACCCCGTCTCTACTAAAAATACAAAATTAGCCGGGTGTGGTGGCACGTGCCTGTAATCCCAGCTACTCGGGAGGCTGAGGCAGGAGACTCGCTTGAACCCGGGAGGCGGAGGTTGCAGTGAGCTGAGATCACACCACTGCACTCCGGCCTGAGCAACAGAGCGAGACTCCGTCTCAAAAAAAAATAAAATAAAATAAATTAATAACACATTGGCTGGGGCAGTGGCTCATGCCTGTAATCTCAGCTCTTTGGGAGGCTGAGGCTGGCAGATCACCTGAGGTCAGGAGTTCGAGACCAGCCTGACCAACATGGCAAAACCCCATCTCTACTAAAAATACAAAAATTAGTCAGACATGGTGGTCCATGCCTGTAATCCCAGCTACTCAGGAAGCTGAGGCCTTGGGAGGCAGAGGTTGCAGTGAGCTGAGATCACACCATTGCACTCCAGCCTGGACAACAGAGTAAGACTCTGTCTCAAAAAAAAAGAAAAAAAAACCAACAACAAAAGCACAACTTTTTTAAATGCAGTATAACTATTTACGTAGCATGCACGCTGTATCGGGTATGATAAGTAATCTAGAGGTGACTGAAGGCATACTGAAGGGTGTGCACAGGTTACACGCAAACACCACACCATCTCAAGTCAGTGAGTTGAGCACTGGGGATTTTGGTATCTGTGGGTGTCCTGGAACAATTCCCCAGGGATGCCAGGGGACAGCTGTTACACCGGTGACCATGTAACTCTTCTGATGCCCCAAGCACACTAGAGGTTCCCGGCTACAAAGCTGCCAGCCGGAGCAGGGTGGCAACTTCCTCTGCCTCGACGTCTGCTCCTGTTACTGCCCAGGGAGAAATGAGGCTCTTATCTGAGGAGGGGCCACACCAGCATGTGGGCCCCCAAGACAGCCACAGGCCACGTTCAGCACGGGACCCTGGGCAGGTCACAGGATCCCAGAAGCGATGCCATCTTTTCTGATCTGATTTCACATCACAATATTCTTTACTCTTGTCACCCACGCTGGAGTGCAGTGGTGCAACCTCGGCTCACTGCAGCCTCTACCTCCGGAGTTCAAGCAATTCTCTTGCCTCAGCCTCCCAAGCAGCTGGGATTATAGGCATGCACCATCATACCCAGCTAATTTTTGTATTTTTAATAGAGACAGGGTTTCATCATGTTGGCCAGGCTGGTCTTGAACTCCTGACCTCAGCCACCCGCCTCGGCCTCCCAAAGTGCTGGGATTTCAGGCATGAGCCACCACACCTGGCAACACGATTTCTTCTGTTTCTCACACACAGGATGCTCCTCCCTCCCCACATTCAGCAAACATGAGCTGAAGGCCATTCTCTAGGAATTGATACAACATTCTGCTTTGGTCCCATTTCCCCAAAAGCTCAGCAGCTGGTAAGAAAGACACACACAAAGCCACATAGCTACAGCATGACAGCCAGGAACAAAGAGAAACAGTGCGGCGGGAGGGAAGCTCACTTCCTGGTACAGAGTATGTAGTCAAAGAGGCCTGCACGGCAGAGGTGGCACCTGCAATAGGCCTTGAGGGAGAAGTAGGAGCTCACCAGGCGATGAAGGAGTAAGAGGAAACGTGTGGCCCATTTGTGGAAGAGCATGAAACGGGCACGGCAGAGTGGGGCGTGGCGGGGGGAGCACAAACATGAATCAACAGTCGGTTCGTGCCTAAAGGCACGACAACTGCGGAGTGCCATCAGCTCAGGAGGGCCACACCCAGCCGCCCACAGGCAGTGGCCATGCTGCCTGGGGGGGTCTCAGCCACACCTGAGTCGTGGGCTCGGTGGGGAGGAGGGGCAAAGGGGGCTCTGTGGAGCCTGGTGGCAAGTCCAGCCTCTGGGTTTGGCGAGCTGTGCAAGAGGGGGTCTTTGGCCGTGGGCTCTCCCTAAGGCTCTGCCGGTTCCCGGACCCTGGGACTCTCTCTCTAGGGGTGGGGGCGGGTGTGGAAATGGGAGGATTCCAGGATGCAGCTGTGTTCAGACCACTGGGCCTCGCCACGATAGCCCCGTGATGACCCTGGACAAGCCACTGAGACTCCGCACAGTGGTTCCCCTATCTGCAAGGTGGGGCGAGGGTCAACTCTTCCCCACAGGAGGCTTGTGGGGTAAGGTGGAAATGCTCCTTGGACTCTGAGTCTTGCACGGACACAGAGGTGTCTCCACGGACCCGCCACTAACACCCTGAGGGGTCCTGGTCTGAACAGCTACTGCACATGGGATCAGAAAGAAGAAGCCCAAGGCCTTCACACCAGTCACGCCACTCACCCGGCATCAGACAGCTTGGAACTTTCCACGAAGTACACGCATTCTTTCTTCTTGATGTTTTCAGGAATCCATGAACTGAGGTTTTCCTGCTGAAGGTAAAGAGGGCGCATGGAGATCCTGCGACATCTGGAAGGGCACACCCCAAACCCCAATGACACGTCAGCGCTCCTTGAGGAGCCTCCACGCTACTCTGATAGAAGAAAGGAAGCCTGAGCAACCCCGAGCCATGCCAAAAGCCGGACGCACCTTACCAAGGCTCTCAGGTGGGACTCAGGAGGGGAATGAATCTGTGGAATCCTTTCCTCTTGGGGCCCGTGTGAATGTGCCGGCACTTTACAGTTTATGCAGCAACACTGCCATCCCTGGGGACGATGTAGAGGCTGGGAAGCTGGGACCCTGCACCCTGCACTGTCAGGAAAGGGCAGACACCCTCCTGCCTGGCCAAGGGACTGCGAGATTCCAAGTGCTTTCATCACGCTTGTGTCTTTGTATCGAGGGCTTCGGGGAAAGCTAGTCCAGGCCCAGAGCCTCCCAATCAGATACACGGTGGAAATCACTATGCAACAAGGTGAGCGGGTGACAGATTTCCACGACGCTGACACAACACTGCTGTGTTAACACAGTGATTTCCCAATCAGGCCAACCAGCGGAAGTGACCTCGAAAACCACAGGGGGCCAGAAAGGCCAGCCGTGCATCACCCTCCCCAATTATCCTCACCCAGAGGCACGGCGGGCTGGAGCCCCAGAGGCCAGCAGATCCTTGCCTTCCCCGAAGTCACGGCCTCAAGCTGCGACCTCCTCCGCCACGTGCCAGCTGCAGGCTGACCAGCAGAAGGCCTACCTTGTCACTGCTGCCAAAGGGGCACTGCGGTCTCCAGCTCTTGAAGAGGCTGCTGTTGCTGCGCTGGAGATTGGAGGCCCTCCCGAGGTCAGTGACCCTCCTGGGCAGCCCCCCAGGGCCCTCGTCCTGCTCAGAGCCAGCTCCCCTCAGGGCCGCGGGCTCCATCCTGATAACCCCACGCCAGCTGCAACCAGGCCTGCTGCCTTCAGGACAGTCCTCTCTCCAGCTCGAGACACTGGGGGTTCTGGAGACACACAGCGGATGGTTGCTGAAATAGATGAGACAGGAAGATGAGGCTGACGTTCTGAGAGGAACCAGCCACGTGCTTCCTCATGTGAAGCCCACATCCAGTTCTCCTCGTCGGCCTGCGTGTCTCCCCAGCTGCCTGAGCTCTGTTCCCCGGACGGGGCCCTGAGCCTCTGGGATACACGCACACGCAGGAGTCCCAGCGCCCATTCATAACGGCAACAACCTCAGGTCACTGCAGGGCCGGAGACAGTTCCCTCCCGACTGCTGCCGCCCCAGCCGCACTGCACCGCAGAGACGTTCCCACCCCCAGCAGCAGCTGCCGGCGAGAGGGTTTCACAACCCTGTGGCTCTGCGTCCAGACACCCGTCACCACTGTCACGTTCCAGGAAGAAAAACAGCCCCCACTGCCCACAAGGGAAGTTTCTGTTGTTGTTTGAGACGGAGTCTTGCTCTGTCCCCCGGGCTGGAGTGCAGCGACTCCATCTCAGCTCACTGCAACCTCCATCTCCTGGGTTCAAGCGATTCTCCTTCCTCAGCCTCCCGAGTAGCTGGGATTACAGGCACCCGCCACCACACCCAGCTAATTTTTTTGTATTTAGTAGAGACGGGGTTTCACCATGTTGATCAGGCTGGTCTCGATCTCCTGATCTCAAGTGATCCACCCACCCCCGCCTCCCAAAGTGCTGAGATTACAGGCGTGAGCCACCGTGCCCGGCCTACACAGGAAGTTTTGAGGAGTGCCACATCTCTCCACTCCAAGAAAAAAATGATAATTTTAAGGAATCTTATTCTCTCATATCCTTTCCCCCAGCCCTGATGTGGCCTTCGTCACCCAGGGCCTCCCTTTACAAATGAGGAACGTAAGCATGTTCAGGCCCTGCAGGGCTTCCCAGAGCCCCTGGCACCCACAGTGCTGTTCCCACGAGATCACCCATGGCCACCCCCAGCCACTGCCCCAAAGGTGCGAAGGGACAGTTGCTTGGGAGCAGAAGATCTGACTGCAGGTCCCCCTCATCCCTGCCCTGAAACCCCGTCTCTGACCAGGTCCTCTCCACTGCACAGGATGCTCACTGAGCCCTTTGCTCTACTGTCCTCCGATCACATGCGGTGACTTGAGGCCATCTTTGAGGCCCCACAGCTCGAAGCTCAGTGCCAGGCACTTGAGGCTGAGCTACCAGCTGCTGCCCTGGGGAAAGCCCTTTCAGGCCATCCCACCTCCCCCACTCTCCCTCCTTCCCTTTGCCCCTTGGCCCACCTCATTGCAAGACCCCTAGACTTCACTGGCAGAATGGCAGGGGTACCCTGCCTGGCCTTTTCCTGCAGTTCTCAGAGCAGATGTGCCACACACCTGCAGGGCCTATCCAGGGCCATAAACCATCTCTGCAGTCACTGGCCTAGCCTCACAACCAGCTTCTGAGGGAAGCAGTGGGGCAGAGGCATCCCCAGCAGCAGCAGCAGGAAGAGGCTCTGGAGAGCTTGCAGTCCCAGTACAAGGGACCTGGAGTGCAGGCAGCTCCCCAAGCAGGCAGTGTACCCTGAATGGGATAAGGATGCCTAGAAACGAAGGCCCCAGCATAAGACAGGAGGGTCCACAGTGAGGGACCCTGCCTTCCAGAAGGCCAGCATGTTCTGCTGACACGCTCTCTTTCAGGCAGCCACCCACCTTGGCACAGCACCTGGGCTCTTCTGCAGGGTCCTCTAATCCCAGTGGCAAGCGGGCCCTGGGAAGCAGGTCAGCCCCACTCCAGCACCACCCCCAGACTTTGCAGAAGGCAGCCAATAGCCCCCGTGAGCATCTGATGCCTGCTGTGGGGAGCCACTGGCTCCACCAGTCCCCTGACAGATGGGCGCCTGAGCCTGCACCTCGAGGGTGGGGGACCCTGAATCCCAGGCCTGGCACCCACCTTCCAAGGGCCCATCCAGCCCTCTCTGTGGATGTTTCTACCGAAACTCACAGGCTCAATCCCTTCCTCACAAGTCACCTGAGAAGGGCTTGAACCACCCTGGTTCACAACGAAAATTCTCTACAAGCTTCTGGCCCAGGTGTGGGTGTTGAGGGCACTCCCGAAGGAAATGAACTTCCAGAGGACAGATGCACCACGCAGGCCTGAGCAGGAAAGGCCTCACCAGGGGTGGATTTCCAAGCTCCAGTTCTGCTCGGAGCTAATCCCCGGGAGAAAGGAGTGCAGTGGAGCCTCCAGGAAGGAGCGTGGGTTGGGGGCATTCCATACCCTCAGGGTGAGCCTCAGAGCAGCTCCTCCCTCAGCCCTGGGGGTCCCTCAAGGCAGGGGTGGCATCAGGAAGACCACCCCCACCATCACCAAGGCCTAATTCAAGGCTCGCTGGTGCCCGAGTCCCGGAGACTCCCGAGGACCCAGGTGTGCCGGCAGCACCCGCCCAGCCAGCCCAGCAGTCACCGGGAAAGGGAAGGTTCTGTCTGGGCAGGGCGGGCCTCCCGCACCAGCGCCCTGTCCTCCCTGGGTAAACCGTGTGGCCCCCCTGCCCTCTCCGGAGGTTGCTCGGGCATCCTCTGAAATCCCCGAATGGAAGCCAGAGCTTCGGAGACCAGACAGGCAGAGGCGGGGGCGGGGACGGAGGAAGTCAGCGTCGCAAAAGCGAGTCCTGGGGTCCCGGCAGAGGAGCAGGGGCCTGGGGACCGCTGAGTCCCTCATCTCCCGGCCCCTCGCGGCAGCCGGACAGGGTCGCCCCAGCGGCAAGGCGCCCCGAGGACAGACAGCACCGGGCTCTGAGTCTGGGCACACTCGGCGCTCCAGTCCGCGCCCAGAACCCCGCCGGTGCCCCCGAATCCCGCCGCGCCCTGCACCGGCGCCCTGAATCAGCCCGCGCCCCAAACACCGCAGCGCCCTGCACCAGCGCCCCCCGAACCCCACCGCGCCCTGCACCTGCGCCCCCCGAACCCACCGCGCCCTGCACCTGCGCCCCCCGAACCCCACCGCGCCCTGCACCTGCGCCCCCCGAACCCACCGCGCCCTGCACCTGCGCCCCCCGAACCCCACCGCGCCCTGCACCTGCGCCCCGAATCCAGCCCGCGCCCCAAACTCCGCCGCGCCCTGCACCGGCGCCCCGAATCCAGCCCGCTCCCCCAACCCCGCCGCGCCCTGCACCGGCGCCCCGAATCCAGCCCGCTCCCCCAACCCCGCCGCGCCCTGCACCGGCGCCCCGAATCCAGCCCGCTCCCCCAACCCCGCCGCGCCCTGCACCGGCGCCCCGAATCCAGCCCGCTCCCCCAACCCCGCCGCGCCCTGCACCGGCGCCCCGAATCCAGCCCGCTCCCCCAACCCCGCCGCGCCCTGCACCGGCGCCCCGAATCCAGCCCGCTCCCCCAACCCCGCCGCGCCCTGCACCGGCGCCCTGAATCCCGCCCGCGCCCCAAACCCCGCCGCGCCCTGCACCGGCGCCCCAAACTCCGCACCCCGAACCCCGCCGCTCCCTGCACCAGCGCCCCGAATCCAGCCGCGCCCCGCAGCAGCGCCGAGACCCTCCACCTTGGTCCCCGCACCCCGCGCCCTGCACGCACTTGGCACCCGGTTCCGCGCTCCTGCACCCGCCGCAACCTTCACAAGCTTCCGTGCTGGTGCCCTCCCTCCCTCCCGCCCGCACGTACCTGCTCTGAGCAGCTGGCGCCCGGCGTCACCCGCACCCCCGCGCAGCACCGCTGCCCTGGCCCCGCGGAGCAGCCCGCATCTCTCCAGAGTGTGTGCCACGTGCCCGATGCAGTGGAGCCGACCGCAGCGCTCTGCGTCACTCAGCCCGGACTGTGCCTCCCGCGCCCGCAGCTAAAGCCAGGGCCCAGACACCGCACCTGCGGGACCCGGGCTCCCCAGAGACCTGGGGCAGGACCCTCGCGTGGATGTGTGCTTTACGAGGGGACTGTAAGGCGGTAAGCCGCGATTACCTTCAAAACCTGAATAGTCAGCGGGAGGGGGACAGGCAGGATCAGAGTGGCAGGGGGACCTGGGCCTGAGTGAGACCCCCCCCCAACAACAGGACTTAGGACCCCTGCTCAAGGACCTCTGCAGTCCCTCCCCCAGCACTCCGGATGTGACCCCAAAGCCACGGACTATTCCCAGTGAGATGCAGGACCCCAAGGCTGGGGCAGGCTCAGGTCCTGCTCCCTAGATCTGTCACAACGGAGGGGACAGGAACAGCCAGAAAGGTCAAGATGGCAGCCCCATCACAGCAGGTGCTGGCCTCCGGCCCCACAGATGTGTAACTCCACCCTGCATGTGCTGCCCACTCTCTGGCTTGGGGAGGGACAGGGACTGCCCTCTGATGCCTGGGAAGGCAACTGCGCTTTTCCCAAACGGTTCAGACCACCCAACCACCCTTTCACTCCACAAAGACACACTGTCCACCCCTTCCTTGCCACCAGGGGGCGATACCAGGCTGCCATTACTGGGCCCTGCAGTCCTCTGTGTCCATGCAAGTGAAGAGGGCCTTGTGCCCTCCAATCCGGGAGGAGGGAGAGTGCCCCCTGACTCCTGCCGGACCCGCCACCCTCATTTCCTCCCTGGGTGTTCGAGCCTGCTGCCTGGACCCCTGCCTGAGCACGTGCCTCTGGAAGGCCCTCTGCAGATGAGCCAGCCAGCAGTGCCCCCGGGCTGAAGGATGCCCACCATCTCACTAACCCACCGTCCCAGTGCCTGCTAAGTGGTGGGAAGGCGGTCAGAGCCCCTGGTGTAGGACAGCACTCTGTTGTCTTTTCAGGACACTGTGTCCACACAAGCATGGCCAGAAGCTGCCCTCCAGAGTGGCCAGCACCGTGTCCCCGCCCCCGCAGCTTGCCAGGGCCACACTCGCAGCAGCTCTGCCCTGCTGGACGGCATGAACCTCTGCCCAGTCCACCCGGCAACTAGCAGTGCCACAGGAGCTGGGCTCTGTGACAACCAGCCACATCCCCAGAGAGTGTCTCAGACCATCCTTAGCAGAGAAAGCAAGTGAGGACCCCTCCCGCTCACCAGCTCTAAGTCAGCAGAGCCCGTCCAGTGCCCCTGCCCTGGGGGCTTTCTGGCCGGAGAGCCACCTCGTTAGTAAGGCATACTGCAGGCAGTTAATATTTTATAAGACAGTCAGCACTGCAGAGAGTCCGTGAGAACGGCTGGGCGCCTGCATACGAGTATCCTGGAGCCTCTGTGGGAGCGTCATTTCAGGTGAGGCAGTTACGAAGCTGACCACCTCCGACACAGCCAGGCCCACATCGCCCAGGAGTCACTCCTGCCTTTCCCGAGAAGAGCCACAGGCTCCACAGAGGGCCACGGCCGTCTGCCCAGATGCCACTGCAGTAGCAATCATGCAATATTCTTCCCGTAAAAGAGAGGCCATTTGACCACAAAACCCGGACAGGGCAGGTACCGCGGTCCACTGAGAGGTCTCTCAAGTTCGGAGAGAGAAAGCACGTGGCACAAAGTGTTTCTCATGGTGTGGGCACCAGGCCCAGCAAAGAGCCCCCCGCTCTGGCAACAGGAGAAACCACAACTGGAGAAAAAGGCAATGATGGGGCCGTGGGCATGGCACACTCTGGTCCTGAGTGGGACTCAAGAGCAGGTGACAGGCCTCGGGCTCCTCAGAGGAGCGTCCAGGAAGGAGGGAGGCCCACGCTAGAGCAGGGTCAGCAAACTCCCTGCACAGGGCCACGTGGCTGCTGCTGTGGCTTTGCCGGCCACGTGGTCTCTGTCCCAGCTGCTCACTTCTGCCCTTGCAGCGGATGGCAGCCATGGGCCATTCAGCTGACCCTGAATGACATGGGTTCGAGCTGCAGGGATCCACTTCTATGCGGAGTTTCCTCTGCGTCCACCACCCCTGAGATGCTAGAACACCCCCTCCTCTTCCCCCTTCTCCCCGCCTCCTCCCGGGAAGGCAGCAAGGCCTTTGTGATGACCTGCTGCTTAACGTGAATCTATCTTATCTTCCTTGTGGTTTGCTTAAGAATATCTCCTCCTCTCTGGCTCCCTTTATTGGAGGGGTACAGTTTATAATGCACATAACATACAACATACGTGTCTGCGCTCAGTCAGGCTTCCTCTGGTCAATCGTGAACTATCTGTTTAAGTTTTGAAGACATCGAAAGTTACACAGGGATTTTCCACTTTAAGGGGTGTGGCAGTCCTAACCGACAGGCCGGCTACATAAATGAATCAGTAATGTCATGGTTTGGCTCCGCATCATGTCAAGTTATAATCCCCAGGCCGGGCACGGTGGGTCACACCTGTAATCCCAGCACTTTGGAAGGCTGAAGCCGGCGGATCACTTGAGGTCAGGAGTTCAAGTCTAGCCTGGCCAAATGGTGAAACCCATCTCTACTAAAACTACAAAAATTAGCCAGGTGTGTTGGTGCGCACCTGTGATCCCAGCTACTTGGGAGGCCAAGGCAGGAGAATCATCTGAACCCAGGAGGCAGAGGTTGCAGTGAGTCAAGATTGTGCCACTGCACTGCAGCCTGGGCAACAGAGGAGACTGTCAAAAAAAACAAATGGTGACATCCGCAGTGTGGAAGGCGACTGGGGCAGGAGGTGTTTCCCGTGAAGGACTGAACACCGCCCTCCTGGGTGCTGTTCTGGTGACAGTGAGTTCCTGCCAGATCTGCTCATTTAGGCGTGTGGCACCTGCCGCATCTCTCTCACTCCTGCCATGGGAGACGCCTGCCCAGTGTTCCTTCTATCCTAATTGGAAGCTTCCTGAAGCCTCCCCAGAAGCAGAAGCCACCTGCCTCCTGTACACCTGCAGAACGGTGAGCCAATTAGGACTCTTTTCTTACAAATCACCCAATCTGAGGGCTTTTTTGAAATAGCAATGCAAGAAGGAAGGACAACAGTACAGCTCCGCACGAACAGCAATAGAACCTTATTTACAGAGCAGGCGCGGTGGCTCATGCCTGTAGTCCCAGCACTTTGGGAGGCCAAGGTGCACGGTCACTTGAGGCCAGGAGTTCGAAACCAGCCTGGCCAACATAGTGAAACCCTGTCTCTACTAAAAAAATATATAAAAAATTAGCTGGGTGTGGTGGTGCACTGAGGGAGATCTACTGAGGGAGATCTGTGGGGATCACTCCTGTGTGAGGCCCCTAGGAAACGGGCCTCGCCAGAGTGAGCTTGAGCCCGGACACAGATCCCCGGTTGGGGGAGTCGAGCTGAGGGAAAGCAGGAACCGAGAGAGGGACTATGCTATTCAAAATAATTAACAGACATTACTTTATGGATATGAGGACATGGGAGGCACTGTGTCCACTTTCGGTTCCTTATGATTGTTTCATTGTGTTCATTTTGGACCCTTGTTACATTCGCTGTAAAATATTAAGTATTTACACTTGTTAACCTACTTACTGGGCGTAACTTACTTAGTGGGCTTAACTTGCTTACCTTGTGACTTAAGCATTTTGATCTGACGTAAACATCATTAAGCAGAAAACTATATAATGGAACCTATTGCAAAAATAAAATTGCTGCATGGGCATAGCGCACGTGGCCCTCCAGACCTCGCTCTTTTCTTTCTCCTTCTTTCCGGCGCGCGCGCTCTTCCAGGTTTGGGACCCTCGCTGGACGAGATTCCCGGGCTCGCGTGCAGTTCACAACAGTGCACATCTGCAGTCCCAGCTACTCAGGAGACTGAAGCAAGGGAATCACTTAAACCCAGGAGGAGGCTGCAGTGAGCTGAGATCACACCACTGCACTCCGGCCTGGGTGACAGAGTGACGCTTCATCTCAAAAAGAAAGAAAAGGAAAGCTTTTATTTGCAAACACAGGTGTCGGCCCCATCTGGCCGGCGGGCTATAGTTTGCTGACAGCTAGTCTGGAGCAGTGGGCTTCAGGCTGAGGGAACAGGCTCGTTTCCTTTCATGCCTGGAGTCATGTCACAGAGTCATCTGCATTCCAGAAACATCTCATACAACAGAACTGCTCTTAAAACGTGAAAGGAAAGCAATGAATGCCACACCAGGGTGAAGACTGCGGCCACCGTAGCCACCGTGAACTCTCTGCGCCGGGCTCCCCTGCCTGGATAGCTCCAGATCGGCAGTGATGAGAAGGGAGCTGGAAATGACCGCAGTGCCTGACGACCCCTCAGGACACTGAAAAAAATTAAATCAACACGTGCCGCCTGTCCCTTCTCCCAGGCCTGGCTCTGAGCTGCCCCATGGATCGGAATCATCTTCGGCAGCAGCCAGGGTCCTTGGTCAGCCAGGGGTCAGGCTACCCATGACACTCGCTCCTGAGGCCATGGGAGAAGTCTCGAATTCCCAAGAGGGTCTGGGAGGGGTGCCCGCACCTGCCACCCGAGCAGTTTCGAAGTTTGCCTCAGGGACGTGCTGAGAGCCAGAGCCTCAGGTGGACCGGGTTCTGCCCCCACGTGGTGTGAGCCAGCAGCGTGGGCCAGGGAGAGGCGGTCCCCGAGATCATGAAAACTTGAGCTCCTGAGCACGTTTGCTGACTCGCCTTGTCTCTCTCTCCTCTTCCCCCGTCTCTCCCTGCCCCCTCATTCCTCACTCCTTGGGAGGCCATGTGTGAGAAGCCATGTTGTAGGGAGCAAAGCCCTCATGGGGCAGCTGGGAGACCCCAGCCAGGTCCTCAGACACAGCCCCACCTTCCTCCCAGCAGCGCAGCTCAGCTGCTCCAGACGCCTGAGCCACAGAAACCAGGACATAGTGATGTCTACCATGAGTTGCTAAGTTTGGGGGTGATTTGTTAGGCAGCGCAGGTGGTTAGGAAATTGGCCTGGAGCTGGCCTGGACTGGGGTTTCGCCTGTGGGGTGAGGGTGGTGGAGGAAAGGAGAGACAAGGGCGGGGCCTGAACAGCATGGGACTCCGTGCCACGTTTGCCCTGAGTTGGGGTGAGCCTGCCCTGCTGAGCCCCGCAGAGCCCCAGGCTGTCTGTCAGGGCAGAAGAGAGCACCAGTTGCCCCATGGTGCTTCATCCTCAACAGGACCCCTGGCTGCCTAAGAGCCGGAAACCCCGATCCAGCTGAAACCACAAAGCAGGTGTTGGCCCCATATACCTGGTGACAGCGGTGGTGGCTTTGCTTCAGGGAAGACTCCACAGGCAGCTCCTGTGTCCCCCACCCTCCATGTCTCTGGGAAGCAGGCTCTGTGTGTGGACCCCTGAGATTTACTGGGGAGCAGTACCTAACTCACCCCATGTAAAGAAGAAGGGAGGCCCGCAGAGTGAGATGGCTCATGCCTGTAATCCCAGCACTTTGGGAGGCTGAGGTGGGCGGATCACAAGGTCAGAAGTTCCAGACCAGCCTGAGCAACATGGTGAAACTCCATCTTTACTAAAAATAAAAACATTAGCTGGGCATGGGGGCAAGTGCCTGTAAACCCAGCTAATCAGGAGGCTGAGGCAGGAGAATCATTTGAACTGCGAGGCAGAGGTTGCAGTGAGCTGAGATCATGCCACTGTGCTCCAGCCTGGGTGACAGAGGGAGAAACTGTCTCAAAAATGAAGGAAGAAAGGAAGGAAGGAAGGAAGAGGTATGGGGCACCTGACTTAGGTGGGGGTCTGATCGTGTGTCATGGAAACAACGCCTTCCGGAAAGGTTTCTCCACACCACATCCGTGCTCTATAGATGGGACCGTGGTTAGCAGCAGGGGTCTTATCCTTAACCTGGCTGGTGGCGCCAACCAGTCCCTCCTCTGGCTGACTTCTAACTTCTCCTTTCGAGATGCAATGTGGAAGGCTGAAAAGGATTAAGGGTCTCCTTCCTCATTATCTACCTGTGACCTGGAAGCCCCCCACCCAACCTTCAAGTTGTCACCTTTCTGGGCCCAACAGACATACATCTTATATTTTTTCTGTCTCTTTTTTTTCCATCTTACACATATGGATGTCTCATGTCTCCCTAAAATGTATAAAAACAAGCTGTACCCCAACCACCTTAGGCACATGTCCTCAGGACCTGCTGACACTGTGTCATGGGCTTGTTCTCAATGTCGGCAAAACCAGCGTTCTAAGTTGATTGAGATCTGTCTCAGATGTTCTGGATTCACAGCTAAGCTGCTCGGTTACAATTGAAGGCTCAAGGTTAGGGGTTTTTCAAAGGCAGTTTGGTGGGCAGAGGGCTAGGGTATGGGGAGTGCTCACTGGTTGTGTCTAAGATGAAATCAAGTTGTCTTTTTTTTGCTGAGGGGCTTCTGGGTGGGGCCACAGGAACTGTAGTCTAGCTGGGTCCATCCGTGTCAGACATGCAGGAAACCTGAAAAGGTATCTCAAAAGGCCAATCTTAGGTTCCACAAGAGTGACATGATCTGCACGAGTAACTGGGGAAGTTGGTTATATTGTGACCTCCAGAATAATGGCTGATGAAAGTTTATGTCTACACCTTAGTGGAATTCAGGCTCCTCTACCCTCCTAGCCCAGTGGGTTCACCTTGCCCACTGCCTAAACACACCCAATTTATCAAGACAAGGGAATTGCAATGGAGAAAGAGTCACTCACACAGAGCCAGCTGTCTGGGAGACCCGAGTTCCATTACAGTCAAATCAGTCTCCCCGGGCATTCAGGGATCAGAGTTGTTTCCCCCCCCTTTTTTTCCATTTTGTGGGGGATCAGAGTTTGTAAGGATAAACTGGAGAGTATGGGCTGGGAAAGTGGTGAGTGCTGATTGGTCAGGTTGAAACTAAAATCACAGGGTGTCAAAATGAGTTCTGGCTGATTTCTGTTCCTGGATGGGATCACAGAAGTGCTGGAGCCAGATTATCCATCTGGGCGGTGTCATCTGCTGAATCCCAATGCAGGGTCTAGAAAATATCTCAAGCACTGATCTTAGGTTTTGCAACACGGATGTTATTCCCAGGAGCAACTTGCGGAGATTCAGACTCTTGCAGCTGGAGGTCGCGTGGCCCCTAAGCTGTAATTTTTACTCTTGTAGCTTGTTAGTCCTACAGAGGCCGACTGTCCCCAGACAAGATGGATTTTTTGGGGAAAGGGCTATTAACCATTTTGTTTCAGAGTTTAATCTATAAACTCCTTCCCAAAGCTAGTTCAGCGTACATCCAAGAGTGAACGCAGGAAGCTTAGCGGTTAGAAGGAAGATGGGGGTGGATTACGAGATGTTTCCCTATCATCTTTTCTTCAGTTATGATTTCTGCAATGGCGGTTTCAGTGGTCTCCCCATTAGCTTTACAAAGGCTGTTTTGGCTATTATTTAAATTATAAGTGTCTCCCAAAGTTAGCTTTGCTTATCCAGGAACAATCAACGCCAACTGCAAGGCGGGGCTTGGCCAGATCTCCTTCGGATTCGCGTCACTGACAGAACTGCAAAGGCGGCCTCAGAATGCCCGTCTTAATGCACCTGTAGCCCATGTAACGCCATGTGGGGAGGGTCTTCTCTGACTTCTAAAAGGCTGAAATGCTTGTAAGGGCTCTGCCGGACCCGCTCGTGCGTCTTTCCTATAAATGCGTCTTTAGTAAATGCCGGGAGGGAGGGAGCCCAGGAATGAACACAGCCCCAGGGCCGCCCTGGGTTTATCTGAATGGTAACTTGGGGCTGTGCAAAGTCCACCCAGACAGGCCTAGGCACTCCACCACGGTCGGGCGTGGGGCCGAGCCCACCCCACTCGGTTCCTGGAAGCGGCAGTTCAGCCCTCAAGGGGCCGACTCAGGAACCGCCGCTGGCACCCACCCACTGCTCACCGCGCGCTTCCGGGGTCACTTCAGAGCCAGGTGCCCTGCGCTGCGCGTGCGCAAAAGCGGAGCCAACGTGTCAGAGTTGCCCATGGGGCTCCGGGGCGCTCGCGTAGCCCCGCCCTCCTCGCTAAGCCGCCAATGGGCTCTCAGGATCCGCCCCTGACGACGCGGGCCCCGCCCCTGGAGACGCGCGCTACGAAGTCGTCACCTGCAGAGGAGCCGGAGGCCGGGGTCGCCCGCCGGTCGGGCCTGGGGTCCGCGGCGCGGCCGCCATGAAGCTGACGCGGAAGATGGTCCTGACCCGGGCCAAGGCCTCGGAGCTGCACAGCGTGCGCAAGCTCAACTGCTGGTGAGGCGGGGCAGCGGCCTCCTCGCGCGGTCGCCCCGGGGTCGGGGGAGGAGCCGGGGCGTTGGGGCGGGGGCGGGGGCGGGGGCGGAGCCGGGGTGGGCGGGCGCAGGTGTCAGGGGCCGGGGGGCGGGGGGCAGGTGTCAGGGGCGGGGGGCGGGGGGCAGGTGTCAGGGGCGGGGGGCAGGTGTCAGGGGCAGGGGCGGTGGAGAGCTAGGGGTAGCGGGGAGGAGGCTGGGGTTGAGGTCACCTGGGGCGCCACATTTCCTGGCCGGCCTCTGTCCCCTGCTGCCCGGTGCGCTGGGTCTGATGTCTGGCATGCCAGCAGTCACTGGGACCAAGTCGAGTAGGAGACAGAACTGAACTCTTGAAGACTGAGTCAGGAAACACGTTGGTAATCGGTACTGGGGCGGCCGTGCCCAGGGGACTCCTGGCAGGTGACAGGAAGGGATACGGGTGCAGTGGGATCCATGCAGGCTCAAAGGCGGGTAATGCCGGGTCTCACTGGGCCAAGGAAGACCAGGGTCTTCCAGAAGAGGCAGCCTGGAGTTGAAGGCTGCAGGATCTCCAGGGCTCCCTGGGGGCTCAGTGGGGTCACTGCGCCCTGTCAACTGGTGGCACCGTGCAGGCGGGCGTGGGGGTCAGCGAGAGCAGACGCTTCCTCCCGGGGGTGTCCCCAGACTGCCCGGAGCGTGTGAGCTCCTCCCTGTTCATTAAAAAGCTGTTCTTTCTGCCCTGGCACGGCTGGTGTTTTGACCACAATTCCCATGTCATTTGCTTTCGGTAATGCATTTCTTTGTTTTGCAGGGGGTGGTCAATGCTGTCACTAAGCAGGGACAAACAACAACCCTATTTCAGGCTTTCCGAGTTTGCTTAATAAGTTGTCTGCTCAGCCTTTGAAACTGGCCTCTTATAAAGACTGCCTTGTTTATGTCAGTGAGGGAAACGAACCTGCTAGTCAGGGACCATGAGGAAGAGTTTATCTTTTCGTGTCTTACAAATGGAGCAACCCCTGCTACTCCTTATCTGAAAAGGACCACCCCAACGTCAAACATACAGTTTTGTTGAAAAGCAGCTAAAACAATTTTCTACACCTTTGCCGGTTATCTGGGCAACTTTCCTTTCTTTTTTTTTTTTTTTGAGACGGAGTTTCGCTCTTGTTACCCAGGCTGGAGTGCAATGGCGCGATCTCGGCTCACCGCAACCTCCACCTCCTGGGTTCAGGCAATTCTCCTGCCTCAGCCTCCTGAGTAGCTGGGATTACAGGCACGTGCCACCGTGCCCAGCTAATTTTTTGTATGTTTAGTAGAGATGGGGTTTCACCATGTTGACCAGGATGGTCTCGATCTGTTGACCTCGTGATCCACCCGCCTCGGCCTCCCAAAGTGCTGGGATTACAGGCGTGAGCCACCGTGCCCAGCCGCAACTTTCCTTTCTTACCATCCATTACAATCCTAGAACCTTAAGGTTTGTAGGCAGTCATGGGTATTTTTGGAAATTTTTGTCTTCAGTGTTTTTTATTCAACTTTAACAAAATTAAAATATGTATCTCCTCTCTCCCCAGGGGCAGCCGCCTCACAGATGTAAGTATCCTGCTCATCAGCTCCAAGTAGCCCAACCCCAAAACTTGTAGCTTCTTCCCCAAGAGAATTTTTGAGTTCACAAAACTGCACTTACCAGTTCAGTCCCAACTTGGTTCTGTGTTCACTTCGTTGTTTTCATTATGCAAAATCACTAATGGAAAAACGGTTCTCTTTTTTTTTTTTTTTGAGATGGATTTTCTCTCTTGTTGCCCAGGCTCCAGTGTAATGGCACAGTCTCAGCTCACCACAACCTCTGCCTCTTGGGTTCACAAGATTCTCCTGCCTAAGCCTCCCCAGTGGCTGGGACTACAGGCACGTGCCACCACGCCTGGCTAGTTTTGTGTTTTTAGTAGAGAAGGGGTTTCTCCATGTTGATCAGGTTGGTCTCAAACTCCTGACCTCACGTGATCCACCCGCCTCAGCCTTCCAAAGTGCTGGGATTACAAGTGTGAGCCACAACACCCAGCCCTCTTTTTTAATATTTCGAGATGCAGTTTTGCTCTTGTTGCTCATGCTGGAGTTCAATGGTGTGATCTTGGTTCACTGCAACCTCCCAGGTTCAAGTGATTCTCCTGCCTCAGCCTCCCAAGTAGCTGGGAGTACAGGCATACGCCACCACGCCTGGGTAATTTTTGTATTTTTAGTAGAGACGGGGTTTCATTACGTTAGTCAGGCTGGTCTTGAACTCCTGACCCCAGGTGATCTGCCCGCCTGAGCCTCCCGAAGTCCTGGGATTACAAGTGTGAGCCACCACAATTGTCTAGTGCCAGGCTTATTTGGAGTTCCCGTCAACATCCCTATACATGAAACGCCCTCTGTCACATGGTCACAGAGGAGGGGGCAGTCAGTTTAGAACTTGCTCTCACCTGGAAAGGAATCCAGGAGGGTTTGTTTTCCTTTGTTAAGGGAAAGCTGAAGGTCTCCCCAGCCTCCTGACTGCACCCCTCTTCTTGGTCACATCTAGTTTTGTGCCCCCCACCACTACCCAAAAGGCAGGCAGAGAGTCGGCCCTGCTGGGAGAACTTGAGCGTGTGCGTCTGTGAAGAGATTTCTTTCTCCTCTCTCTCATTCTCCTCAGTCCAGAATGTCCCCAACTTACACAGGGATTGCACACCAATTGTTTATTTCTCTTTTATTTGAGATGGAGTCTTGCTCTGTTGCCTGGGCTGGCGTGCACTGGCGCCATCTTGACTCACTGCAACCTCTGCCTCCTGGGTTCACGCGAATCTCCTGCCTCAGCCTCCTGCCTACCACCATGCCTGGCTAATTTTTGTACTTTTTTGGTAGAGATAGGGTTTCATTGTGTTGGCCAGGCTGGTCTCGAAACCCGAGTTCACGTGACCCGCCTGCCTCAGCCTCCCAAAGTCCTGGAATTGCAGGTGTGAGCCACCACACCCGGTAGAAAAACAATTCATTTGGACTGGGCAGCAGTACCTTCCCTTAAAGACGAAAAGCCAGACACATGGCACCTGCATGTGATCTGTTTTATGCTGTAGCTGAAACACTGCAAGTTTAACAGTGAATATACAGACGCGCCACGGCCGCAGACACGAATCCCTCACACGTGGGAGGCATCTGACCAGGCTGTGAGCTTCGCTGAGCTGCTGGCACCGGGCCTGGCTTATGGTGGGCGTTCACATGTGCAGGTGTGACCAGCAAGTTGTGCATGCTTTGTGGACCACCCTGGGCACCTCACCACGGAACTGACAGTCCCAGTGTGGTCTGTCTGCCTTTCGGCCCAGCCCTGTTGTCAAGAAGTGATTTCCATGCTTTCCTTGCTTTCTGCCCCTGCATAGGGGACACTGGGGCCCCTGACCTGACGTCCTTTGAGGCATCTAAAGTAACGAGTGCCCTGTCCGCACTGCCGGCACCATCTGACAGAATGGCGCTGTTGTAAAATTTGATAAGGAGAGAGCACATGCAAGGAGGAGCCTCAGTTTCTCCCTCAGGCTGTGGGGCATCTGGGCTGTAAGGTGGGGCCAGGGAGAGCCCAGCACACTTGTGGGCGTTCCCCCAGGGCACCCTGGCCAAGCAGGGTGGCTCCACTCTGGCCCCGGAAATGGAGTCAGCTGTGGCTCTGACAGCTCTCTGTGGCTGGTGGCGGTGGCCGCGTGCCCTGCTGGGCCGTGTTGCCAGCAGTGCTCTTTCCCTTCTAGATCTCCATTTGCCGGGAGATGCCCAGCCTGGAGGTGATCACGCTCAGGTACCTCGCTCCTGCCGTCATGCTCAGCCTGGGGCCTGGAAGCTGGGCAGAGCCTCACGTCTCCCGTGGACCCAGACCTGGAAGCCTCCAGCACAGACTGAGGGCAGCTTCCGGAAGGGGAGGGGCTGGGGCAGCCATAGCTGGGCCTACCGTGTGGCCCCATGTTCAGCCCTCCTTCCTCGGGGCCTCACCTGCGCCACCCGATGGCTCCTGTCCCCTGCCTGCCCTGTGGTGCCCCTGCCCACCCTCGGCCTCTTGCTGGGCCAGTCGGTGGTGGGGCCCTCCTAGGGATGCATGGTGGCCCGCCTGGCCACCCTCAACAGTGGCTGCGTCTGCCCCGGGATTCCAGAGTCCTGACCTCTTCTGCCCACCCCCCACCCCGTGCCACCACTGCAGGAGCTCCCCAGTTTCTCCGCATCCCATGACCTGTCCCCCTCTTCTGGGGTCACTGCCCTCCCAACAGACTCAGGACAGCTTCAATGAAGCAAACGTGACTGGAGTTTCAGGAGTACTTGAGGGCTTTGGGGAGTACGAGAAGAGCTCCCTTTATCCCCCAGTGCCCTTCTGCCCACTGGTGGGACCCGGGAGGGAGTGGACACTCATGGCTCACTGCTGCCTGCCAGACGCTGGACCGGGGGGCCTTCTCTGGGTTTCTGCATTTAAAAGCTCACAAGGGTCTAAACCCTTCGGGGAACCCCCCGCCCCCGTTTGGCAGCTCAGAAAGCTCTGGGGCTTGCCCTCTGAGAGTGGCCGTTGCAGGCCCCAGTCCCTGAGTGTGACCTACCTTCTTGATCTCACAGCCAGCCACAGAGTAGGCCAGCCCCTGCCCATCCTCCAAAATGCCATGGTGATGCCCGTGCCCAGCCTGCTGCCTGCCGTGGGCTGAGGCCAGTCCACCTGGTGTTCAGGCACCCCCAGTGCAGGCACCAGCCCGTCCTGCCTGAGCCTTGCTGAATGGACGAATGAATGAAACGGGCTTGGAGGCATGTTCCTGGGTCAAGTCTCAGACCTCCCACATGTTGGCTGGCCAACCTTGGGTGAGGCATGGCCCTCTCTGTGCCTCAGTTTCCTTCCTGTAGCACAGGAGGTACTATAAGTGCCCACCCCACAGGGAGAGGAGGCCATGCAGCCCAGTGCAGAGGTTTAGCAGGGCTGTGGTACCGGCTGTGGTGCTTGCTTCACTGGTCAACTCACGCTTAGGGTGATGCTGGGATTCAGCCCTGCCTCGGAAGGCCTTACCTGACAGGTCGACTTGGAGCTCATGGCCCCTATGATGGCAGGAAGCTTGGGGCAGGGCTGTGGGCTAGCCTTATGCCTGCCACACACCGAGTCACCCGGGGGCCACAAGCCCTCCAAGCGCCAGGCCACTCGTGTGCAGGGTAATTTCTGTCATATCTGAGGAGGGACAGGGCCCCCGAGGGTGTTGACCAAGCTCAGGTGCGTGGTGCCTGCATGCCCGGCTGCACTGGAGCGGAGTGGGGAGTGCCACTGAGCGGGCAGGAAGCGTCGAGGAGGCCGTGGGGGTGTCCGCGTGTCAGGCTGCACAGGCAGACTCCGCCCTGGAAAGCGTCCCACAGCCTTAGTTTTGCTCTTGGTAAAATGGGCAGCCTCCGAACTAGAAGCCGTGCGAGAGGGTACCTGGGAAACGCTGAGCGAAGGGACAGTACTAGGGCATCCGGGGAGGGGAGCTCAGCACCGGGGGCTGCCTGGGGGGCCTTCTAAGGCATCTGCCCGACCCTCCATGCCGGGTCCCTGGCTCCTGGAGGCAGACGCTCTGTCCCTTTGAAGGCCTGTGGGAGCGGCTCTGCCTGTTTGGTTGTGGGGCGATGGACCCCACGGAGCCTTTAGGCCTCCTGTTTCTCTCCTCCACTGCGTCCACGTTCGGTGGAATGGAAATGAAGCCCATACCCAGGGTTTCCACTCTCACGTGGGGGTCTTGGAAATTCCGTGCTCACTTCTGCGTCACATGGAGCTGGCTGGAATGTTCCGCCCTGAGTTTTTCTGGCCACTCCCTTCTTTGGGGCAACATGACATGTCCCTTGAAAGGCCTTAGTTTCCTCGCCTGTGAAGGAGGCTCATCCCCCCCCTCCCACTGGAGCGCCCTGAGGAGCCAGAAGCCGAGCGTGGGGTCCATCCCAGTCGGCCTTCAGGTTCAGGGCTTTCCCATGGCCCAGGTCCAGCCGCACGTGACCCGTTATAGTGGATTTGGGCTTCTCGGGAGGGGGGCAGGGGCACAGGTCCCATGAGTGCCTTTTCCTGGGGCTCGAGATTGAGAGGCGGCGCTTGCCACGCCCCTCGCTGACTGTGCTGGTCTCCGTGCAGTGTCAACAGCATCTCCACCCTGGAGCCCGTGAGCCGGTGCCAGCGCCTGAGCGAGCTGTACCTGCGGAGGAACCGCATCCCCAGCCTGGCCGAGCTCTTCTACCTGAAGGGGCTGCCACGCCTGCGGGTGCTGTGGCTGGCTGAGAACCCGTGCTGCGGCACCAGCCCCCACCGCTACCGCATGACCGTGCTTCGCACGCTGCCGCGGCTGCAAAAGCTGGACAACCAAGGTAGGTGGCCGCAGCGGTGTCACCGGCCCTCTGAAACAAGCCTGCAGGGGGATCTTTCCAGCCCTCTTTTCTCTTCTGCAAATGCCTGGCCTCGGGACACAGGTGTGTCGTGTGGCTCCTCCGGAGGCTGTTCCGTGGCCTCCGTGTCTCCTCTCTATCTCGCCACCTGAATGCAGCAGCGCAGTGTTGGGTCCCTCCTGTGACCGCCACATGCTTACCCCCCGACAACTGCAGGATGGTGTAGCAAAGCAAAAGGGTTCCTCCAGCTTCTGCAAGGAGCAGCGCTGCTCTGACCATCGCCTTGTGCCATAGCAAGCCGGGAGTCAGTGTGCGGCACTGGTCCACGGGGAGCAGGCGGGCTCCATGGGCTGCCGTGAACCTAGGGTGGTGGTGCCGTCACGCACCCGCCACGGGGAGGGGCTGCCCAGCACTGCGGTGCCCACTGCTGCGCTCCACCTGTTGGAGACCCAGGGCCCTCCGTGAGCAGTCTCGGTGCGGCCGCGCGTGCCTCTGGCCAGCGCCAGCTCCAGTGCACTTTGCAGGCCTGCCATTCTCAGCACTCATTTCCCATCCTTGTCAGCCCTGTGGGCACTAAGACTTTCCTCCAGAGCATTTATTAATATTCATAATAGAAATAAACTTCAGGGAAATTGATACGAGTGAAATGGAATAAAGTCAGTACAGTCTGTTCCTCTTTCTGTTGTGTCTTAGTTGAGGTTGTGATGAGGCTGAGGGCCTGGCAGAGGCTGGCGTTCAGATTCCACCATCTGCTGTGTCGGCCCGTGCCGGGCTGGGGATGGGACAGTGAGGGACCGGCCCCCACTCTGGGAGTGCCCTGGAGGTGGACACACGCCTGCATTTCACCAGCAGACTGTGCTGAGGCCACAGTGAGGACGGGAGCTGCGGTGCGTGTGGCCTGCACGGGGCTGAGGCCACTCATGCTGCCTTCTGTCCTTCACCCAAAGCTGTGACAGAGGAGGAGCTGTCCCGCGCACTGATGGAGGGAGAGGAGATCGCCGCGCCGGAAGGAGAGGGCACGGGTAACGGCTGCCCCAAGCCGGGCTTCGCGCTGAGCTCCCTCAGCTCTGCCGCCGAGACTGGCCAGGACCCGCTGGACAGCGAGGAGGAGGCAATGTGAGGCTGGAGGGCAGCAGGGCCTCCGCAGCCTGTCCCTGTCCCCCAGGGCCCTCCCAAGGGGACTGAGTGGGGCTTCCAGTGAGCTGCATCTCGAAAGTGAGGGAGAGGGACTGTCCAGGGTGGGTGTCGGTTCTCATCCATATTCTACAAGTGACCTGGGTAGTGGGTGTCCATTCTCATCCGTATTCTCTGGGAGTGACCTGTGGCCCAGGTAGTGGGTGTCCATTCTCTGTATTCCCTGGGAGTCACCCGGGGCCCGGGTAGTGGGTGTCTGTTCTCATCCGTATTCTCTGGGAGTCACCCGGGACCCAGGTAGTGGGTGTCTGTTCTCTGTATTCCCTGGGAGTCACCCGGGGCCCGGGTAGTGGGTGTCTGTTCTCATCCGTATTCTCTGGGAGTCACCCGGGGCCCGGGTAGTGGGTGTCTGTTCTCATCCGTATTCCCTGGGAGTCACCCGGGGCCCGGGTAGTGGGTGTCTGTTCTCTGTATTCTCTGGGAGTCACCCAGGGCCCGGGTAGTGGGTGTCTGTTCTCTGTATTCCCTGGGAGTCACCCAGGGTCTGGGTAGTGATTTCAGTGGCAGGTTCATGTTCTGCCCAACAGCAGATGTACCAGGGAGCAGGAGAGGGGGTAAGGGCCATCAGTGTCCATACAGCCTTGGGCCTAGGGGCCATGAACGGGCCACAGGGCTGACTGCGGTGCGGCATGGACACCTCCCAGGGCAGTTGGTGGTGGGTCACAAATACATTTGAGAAGCGGGGTACTTCCCTCCTGCGTGGCAGGTCACACCCACTGCTGGGGCCTGCCGTGGGGGTGTCAAGTGTGATCTCAGGCAGCTGCCGTCCTGCCCAGGGCTTGACCTGTGGTCAGCAGCTCGCCCTGTGGCATTTGTGTTCAGGTGCTCCCTGCCCTGCCCCCAAGGCCCGGGTGGAAGGTATTACAGTTGGGGAGCCCCAGAGTGCAGGGAGGGCGCCCCACAGGTGACATAAGTGCCAGGCTCTCCAGAAGCTGTCAGGAGCCGCTGACCTTACGGGAGTTGACTCCTCCTCTTCCCCCTGCGTGCAGGGTGGGATTTATATGAGGCCTCCCTTGCCTGGATGTGACCTGCAGATGTGGTTTGCAGAGGCCCCCGGGGCCAGAAGCCCCCCAACCCTCACACACCTTTGTCTCCCTCTCACCAGCAGCACTCAGGGTGAGCTTGGCCTGAAGCCCTGTTCCCAGGACCAGTTTCCTTCCTTCTTACCCAGGGATACTTTGAGCAGCCACAGGAACAGGGTGAGTGACGAGGGCCATTAGGAGACCCACCGCACAGAATCATTGGGCGGGGGAGGAAGATGGAGCCTCAAAAAGCTGCGCCCCAGAGGGAAGCTGCATGTGTGGATCCGTGAATGTGCACACATGTAACACGTGCCCCACACGCAGCCGTCCTGACTCTCAGCCTCTTCTGCCCTCCTGGTCTGTGGAATGTGGGCCTGGGCCCTGCTGGGGTGAGGGCGGCAGGAGTGGCATGGAGGAAGCACCACACACATGTTCACAGGCCTGGCTCCTCTGCCGGGATTCTCCGTGCGTTCCAGACGGTTGGTCGCCTGGGCACACCCCAGCCCCCAACCAGCCGCTCCTGCTGGGTGCCGCTGGTCAGGCCCCGGCCCTCGTGATGAGAAGCAGCCTCGTGGTACCGGGTGGGCTTAGTCTGCACCCCTCTGCCCCCAGAACGTCCTCACCGCGATTCTGCTGCTACTGCGGGAGCTGGACGCCGAGGGGCTGGAGGCCGTACAGCAGACAGTGAGCAGCCGGCTGCAGGCCCTGCGGGGGCAGGAGGTACAGGAGCACGCACAGTGACCGCCCACAGGACCTGAGCTCCGTGGCACCCTCCACGTACCCCAGCATCTTCCCCAGCCCCCGGGAGCTGGCAGCTGCCATGGCCACAGCCCCGGCCCCGGCCCCACACAGAAGCCTCCCCAGTTTGCCACACTAGCCAAGGGCAGGAGGGGTGTTAGGTGCTGGCTGGCCGGCTGAGGTGGCAGACGCCTGCCCACACCAGGATGTCCCCAGGACTCCCCTTCTGTGGTCAGGAGGGTCTTTGTCTCCCTGATAAAGGGTTTCCCCAAGTCTCATCTGGAAGCAACATTTTTCCCAAGGCATGGCCCTGACGGTCTTCCTGGAAGCAAGGGCCGTTTCTAAACAGCGAGGTGTTCACAGGTGGCTGATGCCAGCCTTTGGTCATTGCATAGATTCCTGCTGAGCAAGGGAGACTTCCAGGAAGCGTCCACAGGGACCCTTGCCCTGAGCTGCTGTCGGCAGGCAGGCAGCACCCTCAGGAAAGGGAGGTTTCCTTGCCGGGCGGGGCAGGTGTGCCTTCCTTTCTCTGTCCTGTGAAGAGCTGCATTGGGGCCCTCCACTGTCCCAGTGAGGCTGTGGATGGACAGGCCTGTTCCCTCTGGGGTCCGGGCCTGGCACAAGAAGCAGCTGGGCTGGGGGAGTCTGTGGAGCAACTGAGAGGGGTTTTCTTTCCTCTGGGAAGAGGCACAAGTCTTACGAGGATGCCAGGGCCCAGGCAGTGACCCACAGCCCTGCGGAGACTTCCCAGTGCCCCCAAAAATCCAGGGAGCGTTCACGTGAGAGGGGGAGTCAGCCTTCCAGCTGGTGTGTAGGAAAGCCAGCTACCTGGGCCCTTGTCCTGAGTGGGGTTTGGACCCAGACCTCCGTGAGATGTCCCTGTCTGTCACCAAGTGGTGATGGGTGGCCACGTGTGCAGGCCACCACTCTCCCAAGCCTGGGCCATGCTCATCGTCCACTGCTACCAGAGCCGGCTGCATCATCAGGGCAGCCACTGTCCCCGCCGCCAGAGCCGGCTGTGTCACCAGGGCAGCCACCATCCCCGGACTCGGGGAAACCGGGGCAGCCACCGTCCCCAGACTTGGGGAAACCCAGGGTGAAGACAGTCGCTCACACATACAAGTTCTTCAGGAGGGGCGTGATCTCTGAGCAGTGGAGTGCGGGGTCACTGCTGGGGATGTGGAGGGTGCACAGTTCAGGCCTGTCTGCCTCCTTGTGACTGGTGGGGGAGGATGTCCTCAGTAAAGCGCTTTGTTAGAAAAGCTGAGGTTGTGAAATTGTGTCCCCTTCTGTGCCCCCTGGCACGGGCTGCTGGGGGTACACAGGGCTTACACCAGCACCCTCCTGCCCCACACCATGCACACCTCGGTCGGGACTACTGGAGGGGACCTGTGGGGGCAGCTGACTGCCCTAAGCCCTCGGATCCTCGCCCACTACCTCTGCACCGTAGCTGCCTCCACCCTCAGCCTCCTGCCAGCTCACTGTTCCCCTTCTTGGCGACTCCTCACCCACTGCCCCCTTGAGAGCCTGCAGCCATGGAGGACAGCCAGAAGCACTGCAGCCTGAGGCACCCCACAGTCCCTCCACTCCTCCCCATCACCCCAAAAGTTGGGTTCTCAAGCTGAGCAGGCACTGGCATCATGTGTCCCATTAGCCCAGTTCACAAGGGAAGACCGAGGGCCCGGGAGGCCGTGTCACTCTGCTTGAAACTCCGTGCAGCCAGAAATGGGCCTGATGTGGGGGCTCTCACCACAGCACGTCACCCAGGAGGGAGGTGCCCACTGTCCCCGGCATCACCCACAGGCCACCTGGGTGCAGCAGCTGAGTGGCAGCTGAGCAGGTTCTAACACCATCAGGCAGGGCAGACCGAAGGAGTCTACTCAGAACTGAGTCCTGATCCCGACATGCATGCATGGTTCCCAGGGCCTGTGCACCTGCCTCTCTTCCGTCGAGACAGATGCAGATCCCGAGCACTGTCTCCTCCTGGGCCTGGCCCCAGGACTGCCCCCACTCAGAATGAACTGGAAGGCCCCTAGGTGTGGGCCCCTCCTCCCAGCTCCAGAATGAAGCAATCTGGAGGCCTCCGGCACCGGGAACAGCACAGCGAAGGACTGCCTGGGTAATATCAAGGTGACCCAGGGCAGGAGGGTCCCAGTACCCTCACCTGGTCCCTAGAGCCACCCCACTGGCTGAGCCCAACCTAAGACTTCCCAGGGGCCCTCAATGTGGCCTACAGGTCCCTCCAAGCTAGGGTCTCCCCTTGGACACCTCCTGTGTCCTGAAACATACCCAGGTGGCCCTGCGGGCAGGAAGCAGCCCTCTCTGGCAATCACCTGCAGAGCCGTGGGTGGTGCAGAGCGTGGCTTCAACCTGCAGGTTAACAGGCAAACCAAGAGCAGGGCATCCGCCACCCCAGAACTGCTTGCGGGACTCAGCCTGGCCCCTGGCAGGAGCAGCTTCCCACTGCCTTCTCTCCCACGTCCACCATCAGCATCTCCTGGATGCTGGCTTAAGCCATCTGCAGATTGGAGACTCCCACTCAGGTTAGGCTGGGGAGACGGGAGTGAGCTGTATCCTTCTGCCCCCAGGGCTGGATCAGGCCTCCCATGGCACACGTCCCTGGCCAGAGGGCCCTCTGCCCCTGGGGGCCGCTGCCCACTGGGCTGGCCTCGAGGGACACTCCCCTCCCTCCGAGGATTGTGCTCTCCAGAGACTGATGCACCCCACTGTCAGGGAGATTTTATTTCTAGAAAAGGTGACAGGTGCTGCACGTTGGTAGGAACAGGTCACAATGAGGCAGGACTGGGGCCTCCTCATCTCAACATAGCCCAGGCATTGGCTGGCCCATGTGAGCAAGCCCAGCATAGGGAGAGGCTGAAGGCCCATGGGGCGCCAAAGGAGGGGCAGCAGCCTCCAAACACCAACAGCCCCACGTCCCCCAGGCAGGAAGGTGGATGTCCCAGGGCGCTCTGTCCTCCTGCTGGAGGGCCTGGCAGGCTGGTCTCAAGGCACCAGCCCCGGGGGCCTGGTGAGTGACCAGGGATAGAGGCGCGGCTGGGCTGAGCAAGCCCGCAGCCCCCACCTGCCTGCAGGCTCCAGACACAGCCCAGACCCCAGCTTGGCCCTGCGATACGGCTGGCGTCACTGGGACATCACAGGGGGCGTGGTGGGGCCGGGAGGGGCGTGGCCTCAGAAGCCCGTCTCCATGCTCAGAGTGCGGCGGGTCACGTGCTCCAGCTCCCCCGACACGTAGGCAGCCATGCTGATGCGGTAGTGCGCCAGCATCTTCAGCATGAGCCGCAGGCTCAGCCACCACTGTTCCCGCGGCATGCGGTGCCTGTGCAGGCGGCGGGTGATGGGGAGTCAGGGCAGGGCAGCTCTTCAGACCACGCCCCTGCCACGCCACGCCACGCCCCCTTCCTGTGCATGCCCCCCTCTGAACATCTCCACATCCACGGAGCCCTGCAGCGTCTGGGTCAGGTCTAGGGTCTCCATCCCTCGGAGCCACAGCACAGTCAGCCGCAGCCGCCTGCAGGCGTGCCCAGTCCTGACTGCCCATGCTGTGCCCCATGCCCACCCGAGGGTCTCGCTCAGGGTCACACTCAGAAGACCTGGGCATGGTCCCTGCTCTCCGAGGCCTGGCGGGGACCAAGCATGGGGGACAAGGGGGCCTTGCGGGATCAGGGTGGGAGTAGGACTGGGCTTGACACGCCTGCTCTGGGGAAGGTCTGGGCCACCCCTCAGCCCCACCATCCTCCACGAGGCTTCCACGGAACTCACTCGAAGTCAGTGTCTTTCTTGAGCTCAGTGACGGGGCTGAAGGCCACTGCCTTCTTCTTCAGGCCGATCACACAGGCAGAGTCTGGGGCATTGGCGAACACTCGTCCTGCAAACACAGGCACGTGGTGACCCGCGAGGCCTGGCCCCGCCCCAGGGACCCAGGGGAGGGCAAAGTGAAGCCTCAGGCCGCCCCCACCACCTACCCTTGCGGTAAACCTCACGAAGCTTCTCCGACACCCAGAGCATGGCCTTCACCCCCAGCTTGGTGCCATAGTTCCGGTCAAAGGGGGTCGGAGCGCCACCCTGGAAACGTGAAGCCCAGCTCCTGGTGCTGCCCGGGGCTGCCCGGGCCAAGGAGAGGGAGGCCCAGCCCTGGCACAGACAGGGTCCCCACAGGAAGCCTCCCAGGCAGCTTCTCAACACCCATCCCTTCAACCCTGCACAGTTCCCATCTGTTCCCGAATGGATGCCCCTGCCCGTTCTCTGCAGCTCCAAGCCAGGCTAGAAGCCACCTCCTGAGGCTGACAGTCAGCTGCCTCCTGGCTAGGTACAGTGACCCCTGGACCCCTGCCTTTGGCCCCAGGCCTGGCGACCCTGACTCCCCCTCCCTGGCTCAGAAAACCCCAGGACAAGGGCTTCCTGCAGGGCCACAAGACAGGGAGCACACCGGGATCTAGGTGACGGGCTCGGCGGAGCGGCTGCAGGAGGCCTGGCAGGGGTGGGGAGCTCAGCTCTGCATCTGAACGCGCTGGCTTGTGCCCCAGCCCCGCCTGTTCTTGGAGCGAGACCTCACCCAGATGCGGACCTCCGACCCCTCACCACTGAAGGGCACATGTGCCGGCCAGGGCGTTAAGAACAGAACAGCCAGCCAAGGAGGGCCTGCCAGGAGTGCCAGTGGGTATTGGTGAGGCTGGGACTCCTGGGCCTGGGGACAGATGGTGGCCGGGATGACGGGTGGGCCTCCCAACTGGCACCAGGGCCCCTCCACGGCTCCACCCCCACCTGCTGCAGATGGCCCAGCACATTGGTCCTGCAGTCGAAGACGCCCTTGCCCTCTGAGGAGTAGAGGTTGTACAGGAACTCCGTGGTATAATGGTCGTGGCACTTCTCGTTCCTGAAAGAGACAGCAGGGCCCGAGTCAGGGGGCGAGTTCAGGACTCCCCTAATCTCAGTCCCCGCTGGGCCAGGCCTCCAGGCCAGGCTGGGAGAGGTCATGGCAGCTCTGAGGAAACCCACCCTCTCCAAGGCCTCCTCCTGCCTTCTCCTGCCAGCTGCCCCTCAGCAGCCCCAAGGAGGCGTCCCGACCCCTCCTCCTACAGGCTGGGCCCACGGCAGCCTCACCGCAGCACCAGGCCCCTCTGAATGTCCGTCTTCATCTTCTCCGTCATGTGCTCCACATTGGCCTGCAGAAGGGGCAGATGTGGATGAGCCGGAGGACTCTGGGGAGGGAATTCCAGGCCGGCCAGCCACCCGGGCCAGCAGGAACACTGGACTGTGAGTCCTGCCTGCCCGGGCCCTGCCCTATGCTGGCCCAGCCTGAGTGTCTGGGGCCCAGGCTGGCACGCCGGTGAGTCCGCTGCAGCAGAGACCAGGCTGGGCTCACCTTTAAGTCATGGATATTGAAGGGGTCCTCGAAGACGTAGGCGGCGTCGGCCCCCACGGCAATGCCAGTCACCGTGGCCAGGTAGCCGCAGTAACCCCCCATGGTCTCCACGACGAACACGCGGCGCTTGGTCCCCGAGGCGGACTGCTTGATGCGGTCACAGCTCTGCGGGTGGAGGAAGGTCGGGGTCCTCCGTGTGCCCACCCTTCCCTGCAAGCCATGGGTATGGCTACCCTGCAGGGAGCCATGTCTCCAAAGCCAGCCGGGGCTCATGCATCCAGGAAGCAGGCAGCAGCAGGCTTGGGCCCGGCCAGACCAGTGGTTCTCAACAGGCTGATCTGCCCCCGCAGGGCACAGTGGACGGTGGCCCGCATACACACTGGCTGTTGGCAGGCAGGGGAGTCCCTGCACCCATGGGCAGAGGCGCTGCTCTCAGGCTACCCAGCGCTGCGGCCGGGACACTCGCACCTCGGCCTCCCCATCTGAGCTCATCGCAGCAGTGAGGAACAGTGAGGCCCCCCTGGCCCCAGAAGTGGCAATGGCAGGGAGCTGAGCCCTTCACTGGGGCCCGTGCCCCACACACGCCCACCCTGGCAGCCCTCCCGGGTGCTCTCCAGCAGCCTCCTCGGGCTCAGCCCCACCCCACAAGGGCCCAGGCCTGACAGGCAGAGGTCTGGGAGCCTGTACCTCCATGGCGGCGTTGACAGCGGTATCGGAGCCCAGGCTGAAGTCAGTGCCAGGGACGTTGTTGCTGATGGTGGCCGGGATGACGCACATGACGATGCAGAGTTCCTCGTAACGCCCACGTGCCTCCACCAGCTGCAGCACCCCCTCATAGGCCTGCAGCCGTGGGGGCAGGGGCAGGTCAAGGGCAGCACT